TTTTTTTTGTTTTTTTGTTTTTTTTTTTCCACAGCTCTTAGAGTTATAGTATTTTGACTGTGGTGGCCACCATCTATTTTACAGTAAAACAGAAATAAAGCTGCTTGTCATGCAAGACCTGAAAACCTATAACACCAGTGTACCATTACATAGAGGACTTGACATACATGCTCAAACTTGACTGGATGTAGTTCAGTCCAGTCCAGTCCAGTCCAGTCCATGTCATGGCAGAGGGCAAAATATAGTTCTCTGTATGCCACTGGCACCAAAAAGCATGCATGCGCCTGTGCAGTCTGTGTGTGCTGCACATGTCAGAGCCTGTTCTGAGTTGCTGTTTAATGTTGGCAGTCTGTTGTGTCTTTGCTCTGAGGGTGCTGCCTCGCCCTGCTACATTTCACGCTGAAAGCTCCATGTAAACAAAAAACAGGCGCAAACTATAACATCCTGCCCCCGGGTTTTAACTCATTCTTTAAACCTTAATAGATATAAATTTACTAATTACTGGCACGTGTATTGATGAGATACTACCTGACTTGAATTGAAATGTATGCTTAGATCTACCATATGAAAGCAAACTTTTTTTAGTCTTGCATAGTAGCACAGCTAAATAGCTGCTGAACTGGCCTTTCTCAGTACTCTAATTTAAAGTTTTGGCATTTCGGCAACAGGCTAGTTTGTGTCATTGGTGAGAATTAGATGAGAAGATCCATACTACTTGTATGTCTGTATGCTAAATATTAAGCAGGAGAGGATTATCTTATTTTAGCATATCAGCTGAAAGTGGAAGGAAATGGCTAGCTTGGGTTGGTCCAGGGTTTTGTGCTAGATTGTTTCTTGGCCAGGAGCAGTAACCTTCTGCAGCGAGAGGTTGTCATGGCACTGGCAAACAGTTCAGGAAGTAACTGTGACTTGCCAAGAAATAGTTTGGCACAGAATCAACATCAAACAATGTTTCATTTTAACACTTTGGTTTTTGTTTGCATTTTTCAAAGTACATAAAAGTTGTTATTTAGTGGGGTTTAGAGTTCCATATAGGCAGGTTTTTATATCTACTGAATATTTCTAACTTTGTGTGAGGCTAGCTGTTTCCCTCTGCTTCCAGTGTTTATGCTAACTAATTAGCTCATGGCAGATGCTGTATGAGAGGTCCAATTTCATCATCTAACACTCAGCAAGAAATAAGCATATTTCTCAACATGCTGTTCCTATTGCTTAAGTTTGAAACATTGTTTACAGATGGGCTTTTGCGGTGTTTGTGAGCTTGCCCTGACTGTCGCGTGAAATGATGCCATGTTTAGCTTCATGCATCTGCTTTGTCTACAAGCTGTGGATGGTCAGGAAAAGAATAGTAAAGTATTTTGGTAAAAATCTAGGTATCTCATATAGGTGAATACTCACCCCATACACACCATCACTGTGTCACCAGTACTCATGTCATTTCACTGTTATGTCCTGGTGTGTAACACAAGTGTCATGGCTACTGGTGGTGTTTATTTGGAAAACGTGGCTCACTGGGTGTGTCTGTGTGTTTCTGCCCTCAGCCCGAGATGCAGACGAGAGGGAGAAGTGGATCCACGCCTTAGAGGGAACTATCCTCCGTCACACCCTTCAGCTCCGGGCAAGTAACCGTGCAGTTATATTTGTGTGTGTGTTTGTATATGTCTGTGTGTCTAATCCATCCACTGTCGTTACACTGTTTTGCTGTTTACCATCTGTTTTCTTAAGCAAATATGCTGTTTGTTGTAATACTTGAAGAGTACACTGGTAACAAAAAGAAGATTTGTGAGCAAGTTTGGAAACTCTGAAGTTAAGATAATTAAACTACCTGGATGTTTGCACTGAGAGATTGTTATTGAACCTCAGATTATGTGCATTTCTATAGCCTATAAATCATATACTGCTGTTGTTAGTATTACTTTTAAGCTTTATGTATCTAGCCTGTACTTGTTTTTTGGTTGTTGTTTTTTTTACTTAACAGATCTGCTGAGTCAGTGATGATTCTTGATGATATAAATAATGGTGACTGCCATGTTTTCATAAATGGAATATGCTATATGGCTGGCTGGACCAGTATGAGGACCCACACTTTTAGTTTTACGGAAAGAACGTTTAAGTGCTGACCTGCTGACAGCCCTTTTTGTGCCACTGGTTTTTATGTTGCTAGTTTATGTGAGTGTGCCTTAGCCAGTTTTCCTTGTTGCTTTCCCTGCTCACCAGTTGCTTCTCTGCCCAATCCTTCTTCCTCCTCATTTTCCCCCATCATCGTCTAGTTCTTTCCACCCATCTTCTCCTCCTTTCCACCTTTATGACCAACCTCTCCCTCCCTCCTTTTTTCCTGGCCCCCTTTCCTCTCTGGCAAATCCTTCTGATGTGCTACGTGTTCAGGCTTAGTCAGACTCCACACACACACATTTATGCAGTGTTAGTGCATTGCTGTCATAGCATCATGTGATCCAGCAGTATCCAATTGGAGAACCGCTTGCTTGATGTACCAAGAATCTGCCTCAACCAATCGGTGTAGCCGTTGATGGCTGTCCCCAGCAGCCCCTGCTGCTGCTTTGTGTTTTCTCTCTTCTGCACAAGTGAGAGGAAGTGTGGCTTTCCTGCCAGGGGAGGGTCCTGGATGAACTCAGCTCTGTCCGCCTTATATCAAATGCTTAGCTGATACCTGCTGCTGAAGGATATATTATAGGCAGACTGGTTGCCCAGCTAATACAGAGCTTGAAGGCTGCTGTAGTTTATATTGGCAGGCTGCGGTGGTGAGTGTGTTCTGTCTGTGTGGAGGAGGAGGGACAACGAACGCTAACTTCACCAGAGCTAGGCAGTGTGTTGCTGTAGGGAGAGAAAAACAGAATAACGGAGGCAGAGAAAGAGAAAACGATCTTGCGTCAGGCTAAATGGCCTCATGGGAAATATGTACAAGTTTTAACGCATCATGTCCGTTGACACCAGGCACCTTGTAAGTAAAACCGACACAAACACCACTGCACCATAGCAAGGGGAACTTTAACAGCAGCACTGCGCTACTGGAGCAGTAGTGTTTTAAAGTAGGTCACACATGGAAAGACAAATACAAACGGGGGAGGGTGCAAGGACTGTGTTGATTGTGGAGTCTGGGGTGGTCAAGGGGAGTGGGGGTTGTGTGTGTTTATGTATGATACATTGCAGTCTGCTGTAAAATATTCCCTCTATGTCACAAACACATTGAGGGATCTACGGTCTGTGTGGTGGAGGTGGAGACGTCTGGAATTATTTTAGGAACAATGAAGGAAGTGAGCATTATGACGTGGCAGGACAGCAGCTGTTTATAAGCCAGCCACCTGCCTCTGACTTTCCACTTCCAAATCCATCTGGTTGTCTGTTTAAAAAAGAAAAAAAAATCTTCCCCGTAATTATGTGCTTACAAAACAACCAAACGTGAGACTTTGTTTGCTATGAAAAAATTGGATGCTCTGGCTTGTTCTTCTGTCCTCTTTGGTTTTCCCTGTGTCAGCTTAATGTTTCTGCATCAGTATTTTTCCCCACATGTATTTCAGCCTATAATGCAAGCCATTTGTAAAGTACAGTATGGTAAAACACCTGTCCAGTACACAAGCCCTGTGATAAATACTTGCATTTAGATGCATATAATGCTTTGTGTCAACTCATTTTGGTGTAATATTCAATTGAATTATGTTGCAAAGTGGAGGTACAGCTAGGATGTATCTTCACTGTATCACTGGCAGCACTTTACAGTGAAATTGTAAAATTACAGGGTTATAAGATTCACAAAGGTATCAGTTATAAGTTTTTAACGAGCTTTAGTTCACCTCCTGTAGGCAGATAGGTGTCTATAGCTTGCCTGTAGTCATGTGTCTTTGTTTTGTTAGCAGCTTTAAATAAGAGTAGTCATGATGTAATATCTTACTGGAACTATAACACCATTTCCCCTGATAAATGCGAGTGGTTTTTCCAGTGTAATGAATAAGTAACTAAGCAGGACAAGTTGCTGGCACTGGAATGACTGTGTCAATCCACGAAAGTGCACATCAACATGTTGATACAGTATATAAAAATTCACATCTGAATAAGCATTGTTTTTGATTTTTGCTCAGGCCCTTATGTGGCCAGCTATGTTTTTCAGTCACGCTACCAGTGAAAGCACCTTTGATCTTTTGAGGAAGTTTGATCATTTAACTGCAGCTAGGCTTCATGGCTGCTGACTTTACTCAGACATTGTTCTCTATAAACTTAGCATGTTTAAACTTTAACAGCTGCTAACAGTGTTAATGGCTTTCCTTCACATTCCTGTGAGATTGCCTTTAGCAGGAAGAAACGCCCCCTCAGTCTCAGGATACAACAGGACTGTGCGACGCAGCAGATCCAAAGCAGCGGTAGCAGCCAACTCACTCTGATTAAAAACTTGATTTACTAACAGGACGTCTGTGTGGTTCTAACAGTCAGTATCGGTTTTACAGTTACTCACTCACCTTTTTTTCATGTTAGAGGTGTTGTTCTGTGTCTGGGTAAGTGCTGTATAGTGATAAGTTGATACGTTGCTGTGACATGCTTACTTATTTGTCTGGCGTGATGTAGAGTGGTTATTGTGTTGTAACGGTTGCTGATTGTCCTCGCTACTGACAGGCTCCAGCATTTTTTTTTTTTAATGAAGTTTTATCTGTGCATGCATGCATCTGCCCATTTTTTTTCTGTTTCTGGTATTGTGTCATAGCCAACCAAATTGTTTTTTGGTGCCTGGGATGACCTCAGGCAGACAGACGCCTGTTCACATCTGTTCTGCCAATAGTCTCTTACTTACCTTTTAATAGATGTAATGTAATCAAATTGCCTGTGTTTCTGATGGAGTTATTAAGGGGAGCTTTTTAACAAACAATGGGTTTGAGTGCACCTCAGCACATTAACACACATATACACACACACACACACACACACACACACTCGCTCCTCTGTCTAAATTCACTCCAGTCTGGAGTTTCCTGATTTTAGTTTTGTTGAAGTCTAAAATTCACTGGCCTCCCGTTTGGCTGGCAGGCAGACAGAGGCATTTCATGTAGACTAGCCTTTAAACAGTAGTATTCAACAACAGTACAGTATGTTGCTGGAAGATATTACCTTATTTTTGTGTATTTTGCGGTTTTAATGCTTTGTGACCTTTATGTAACTTTTTTTTTTTTTTTTAATTTTAAGACCAAGTCTTCTTTCTGGCTTTTGACTCCTTACCTGACTCCAAAGGAGAGCTGCACAAGACTTCCTATGTGCCTAGACTGTCTGTTTAGGCATAAATGGCAAATAAAAATGTTGAATCCTTAAAGATCCTCCTGAACAGTTGATGTTTCTGGCTGCCATTTTGTGTAGCAGTTTACAAAGCCCAGGAGGTGACAGAGTCAGGCATTTATTTATGAATGGATAATGTGGGAACACATGGATTGGGTTATTGGTTGTGTGTGTATATTTTGGTTTTATTGTGTGAACACTAGCACAGTGTGTGACATGGATTTGATTAAGGCTGCACTGATGCTCAGCTGTATTTTTATCTTCATCCTCAGGAGGCCGAAACAGGATTTGTTCCAAGTGTTCAAGACTTTGATAAGAAGCTAGCTGAAGCTGACGCATACCTACAGATTCTGATTGACCAGTTGAAGGTAGGATTCAATGTAGAAACACCTGGCTGACATCTATCAATTCATCTGGAATATTTCACACTTTCGTGTAGACATTGGAAATGAAGGGTATCTACCATTCACTTTGATATGTTTGGCTGAAGAGGTAATTTAGTAGTTTTTGAAAGAGTTCCCCCTTTCCAATTTACATCATTAAATTTACCATAAATCTGTAAATGTAGCATCTATACATGGCTTGCATTTGAATCTGTGTCATGACTTTCCTCTTATTGATCTTTTATAAGAATTGTCTTGCTGGTTTCTCACTCTACTTGCTAGCAAAGCAGAAGTTATAAAAAATACAATTTGTGGTAGCATGGCGATAAAAGAGGGAACCATGTATTTAAAGCAACTGCAACATATTGTCTCAGGTACAGAAAATCTTATTGAAAGCACTTTGAGTGTCCTTTCATAATGAGAACAGCAGGCTACGTACCCCCACATCATTTGAAGCTACAACATCTATACAGATTCACCTTCTGTTCAGCTCAGTGCTCATTCCCCTGCTGACCCATCTCAGCTCATATTCCCTCCCTCTGTTTTCCTTTTAATCCCTTGTCTGTTACACTCACACAGCTGTTTGATGAGAAGATCAAGGACTGCAAAGAGGATGAGTCATGCAGGGTGAGTGCTAACAGCGCTGCTCTGTCCTTGTGTCTGGGCTTTCTGCTCCACTGTTCTCACTGTCATTAGAGCCTTCTTCTCCTAGCTAACAGCAGGAGAAGAAGGCTGACACTAGGAAAGGAAAAATGATCTCTCATTGTGATACAGATATCTGTTATTGGTCTTTGATCAGACTGTACAGACTGTAGGGCTGCTTCTACTGATTATTTGTATTATTCTGTAGATCAGTCTTCAGGATTATTTTGTTAGTTAATTGACCAATAGTGGAAAATGCCCTTCACAATTTCCCAGAAACCAAAAAGGACGACTTCAAATGTCACCTGTCAAACAAAAATATTGATCTTACTGTGATACAGAACAGCAGAACAGGGAAAAGCAGCAGTGAAGACATGTAATTTAGGGAACATTCTGAGAACCACTAGTTTAGAGCTCCTACACATTCACACACTAGGCCAGTCAGCTTCTTATAGATGTAGCTAGGTCCAGACTTAAACATGGTGGGGATCGGGCTTTTGCAGTGGCGGTTCTGAGACAGTGGAGCAGCCTACCACCAGGGATTATTCCTGCCCCCAGTCTGGCTGTTTTTTGGTTACTTCTTAAAACTTGCTCTGTTAGGATGATAAGGCTCTACGAGGTCTTTAAGATATGATGGAGCCTTGTCATTAAGGGCTTTGTATGTTAGGAGAAGGATTTTAAATTCTATTCTGAATTTTACAGGGAGCCAGTGGAGAGAAGCTAATATGGGAGAGATATGATCTCTCTTGCTAGTTCCTGTCAGTACTCTGGCTGCAGCATTTTGGATTAACTGGAGGCTTTTTAGAGATCTGTTGGGGCATCCTGATAGTAAAGAGTTACAGTAGTCCAGCCTGGAAGTAACAAATGCATGGACCAGTTTTTCAGCATCACTTTGAGACAGGATGCTCCTGATTTTTGCAATAGACTTGGTTTATGTGTGATTTAAAGGACATATTCTGATCAAAGATGACTCCAAGGTTCCTCACAGTAGTACTGGAGGCAAGAGCTATGTCATCTAAAGTAACTATATGATTAGACAGCAGATTTCTAAGGTTTTCAGGCCCAAGCACAATAACTTCAGTTTTGTCAGAGTTTAGAAGTAAGAAGTTGCAGGTCATCCAGGCCTTTATGTCTTTAAGACATGCTTGAAGTTTGACCAGCTGACCTGATTCATTTGGCTTCATAGATAACTGAGTATCATCTGCATAGCAATGGAAATTTATGTTGTGCTTCCTGATAATATTGCCTAAAGGGAGCATGTATAAAGTGAAGAGAATTGGACCTAACACAGAGCCCTGTGGAACGCCGTGACTAACTTCAGTTTGTGTGGAACATTCGTCATTAACATGAACAAATTGAAATCTTTCTGATAAATAAGATTTGAACCAACTTAGCGCAGTTCCTTTAATCCCAATAACATGTTCAAGTCTCTGCAGTAAGATGCTGTGATCAATGGTGTCAAAAGCAGCACTGAGATCTAAGAGGACAAGTATGGAGACAAGTCCTTTGTCCGAGGCTAGCAGAAGATCATTGGTGACTTTCACCAATGCGGTTTCTGTACTATGATGAACTCTAAATCCTGACTGAAAATCCTCAAACAAATCATTCTTGTGCAAGTGGTCACATAACTGCTTTGCAACAGCTTTTTCAAGGATTTTGGAAATAAATGGGAGATTGGATATTGGTCTATAATTAGCTAGGACACCTGGGTCAAGAGTAGGCTTTTTGAGTAGAGGTTTAATTACTGCAAGTTTAAAAGCCTGTGGAACATAACCTGTTAATAGAGAGAGGTTAATCAGATCTAGTATGGATGTGTTGATTAGGGGAAAGACGTCTTTGAGCAGCCTGGTCGGGATGGGGTCCAGGAGACATGTTGATGATTTAGATGAAGCAATTGTTGAGGTCAACTCAGAGAGATCTATAGGGGAGAAGTAGTCCAAGTATAAATGAGGTCTTACAGATGTTTCTAAAGCCATTGTAGTAGATGGCACATCTGCGAGAGCTGTGGGAGTGGTCCGACCAATTTTTTCTCTAATAGTTGTGATTTTATTTGTAAAGAAGCTCATGAAGTCATTGCTGCTGAGATCTAAGGGAATGTTAAGCTCAACAGCACTGTGGCTCTTTGTCAGCCTGGCTACAGTGCTGAAAAGAAACCTGGGGTTGTTCTTATTTTCCTCAATCAGTGATGAATAAAATGCGGTTCTGGCACTATGAAGGGCTTTCTTATATGTTATTAAACTATCTTTCCAGACTATGAAAAACTCTTCTGACTTAGTGGAGCGCCACCTCCTTTCCATTTTTCGTGATGCCTGCTTTAGGGAGCGGAGCTGCGAGCTGTACCACGGCGCTAACCTCCTCTGTTTCACTACCTTCTTTTTCAGAGGGGCAATGGTATCAAGTGTATTACGCAGGAAGGCTGCAGTACTATCAACAAGATTATCGACTTGTATGGGAGTAAAGTTAAGGTGCCCTCCTTCCACTGTGTAGGCAAACGGCACTGAAGTAGATAAAGACGGAATTATTTCCTTAAACTTGGTAACAGCATTGCCAGATAGACATCTGCTGTAGTGGAATTGTTTCCCACATAGAGTATAATCCATTAATGGAAAATCAAAAGTTATTAGAAAATGGTCAGACAGAAGAGGGTTATGGGGAAAAACTATTAAGTGTTCAGTTTCGATGCCATATGTCAAAACAAGATCAAGAGTGTGATTAAAACAGTGAGTGGGTTTATTTACAGTTTGAGAGAAGCCAACTGAGTCTAATAATGAACAGAATGCATTACTGAGGCTGTCATTGTCAGCATCTACATGAATATTAAAGTCGCCTACAATGTTATTTTATCTGTACTAAGCACTAAATCAGACAGAAAGTCTGAGAATTCACTTAAAAACTCTGAATAAGGAGCAGGTGAACGGTATACAATAACAAACAAAACAGGCTTTTGAGTTTTCCAGTTTGGGTGTGAGAGACTCAGGGTGAGACTTTCAAATGAGTTATAACTATGTTTAGGTCTAGGGTTGATTAATAGGCTTGAGTCAAAGATCGCTGCCACGCCACCACCTCGGCCTGTGTTTCGAGGGATGTGACAGTTACTGTGACCAGGTGGAGTGGATTCATTTAGACTGACACATTCTTCCTGCTGTAACCATGTTTCAGTAAGACACAACAAGTCAATGTGATGTTCACTTATCAAATCATTCACTAACAGAGAATTAGATGAGAGAGATCTGATATTTAATAGACCACATTTGATTGTCTGTCTGAGATCCCGGCTGCTCGGGAAGCTGTGAGGGGCGGCTATCTTGGGCTAAGCTACGTCTAGGAGGCTCCACACCGGCTACGTGGGCATAGCTAGCTGGCCTATTCTCCATGGTGTGGAGCCGCGCTTCTAAGTCTGTGAGCCTCGCCTCCAATGCTGCTAGCATCTGACATTTATTACAAGTACCATTATCGCTAAAGGAGGCAGAGGAATAACTGAACATGCGACACTCCGAGCAAGAGAAAGGAGGAGAGGAAGAGGGGGAAGCCATTGCTCTCGATTAAGCTACTAGCTTAGCTAGCTTCTAAACTAGCCGACCTAAAGTAGCAAGTTAAATTTGGTAGTTAGCAAGAACTTCTGCAAAACAAGTGCTTTAAGTGGTGCAAGCGTATGTTGTCACTCAAAAATTCAGATGAACCTAGAAAATAGTGAGTTTAATTCCTGGAAGCAAGCACAACGCAGTGCAAATACAGAAAACAGGAAATGAGTACAGTTTACCGCAGGAAACAGCCGTCCGTCAAGGTTCCGCATCCAAGCATGAAGAAATGTGCTGTAGTTTTCCAAAGAATGAAAACTGTTAGCCACAGATTCTTACCTTGATGTTTACTGCTAGTTTTATTTCAGTCTCTACAGCACCTCTGTGTTTCAAGCTTTTATTTTATTTTTTTGGTGTTGGATTTTAAATCACGTTTTCTATTCTTTTTACAGAAAATTGAAACTTTGAAAGAGACTACATGTGTAAGTCCAAACTGAACACATTGTCCTTGCTGTCTTTAGGTTTGGCTGTCAGCTCCTACATGATGAATTCCTTTCTGTTCTTCTCTTTCAGAGTATGGTAGAGTCCATCAAACACTGTATTGTGCTGCTGCAAATTGCCAAGGTACACGCAATATGAGTGCATGTTTCATTCATATCTCTGTACTTTTTGCCTGCCATTTCACCAGTCATTGTTCTTGTCAGACCACATCAACAGACACTGCGTGTTACTGCGTGTGTGTGACTCTGGAGTAGTTCCCTATTTCCAGTTGTCATCTGTGTCGGTAGTTCAGGGGGGTGTAGCCCAGTACTCGTTTCATCACATGTTCTATTCAGCCCAATGAAAGGAAGTGGAGCAATCATTTTTGGTTCATGTGGCTGTTAGGTGAGACTTTTAGGTTTATTTAAAGCTCACAACGCTTTTGCTAATGAATAACATTCTAAGATACAGAAAATGTTACAGATTGGCATGATGGAGAAATTCTGCCCACATTGATACTGAACAGAATGACTTGATTTTCCCATGTGATGAAAGGACTACTGCATGGTGCAAGTAAGTTATGAAACGTCGTGATAAAAGGGATAGTATGCCACAGGTATGTAGGATGCGTTATCAAATGACTCTTGAACCTTCCTACACAAGTAGTCTAACATTGTCTTCTCAAAATTTTAAGGACCAAAGTAACGATCAGCAACACGCAAACGGACTTATAGTAAGTTTGACATTCTCTGTCCATGACAAAAATTTGAATCAAACAAATTGCTAACTTTCTTTTCTTGCTTCATTTATTCTCCACTGTAGAAAAGCTGATAAATCAGAGCTCTGTAGTGCATGTCACCTAATTTGGGGATAAGCTTCATCTCATAATCCTTCTCTCATGTCTACCACCACTGTCTTCTTGATTAAATTGATAACTTTCTGATTCCATCTCTTTTTGCGTTGGTTGGGAACTGTTCTTTTCATTGTCATATACACAATAGGTTCACCACGAGTGAGAAGTTTGGGCACATTTTCCCCATTCAGTGCAGTGGGCCCATACTTTTGACTGGTAGTGTAAGTGTGTGTGGTAACTGTTGCCGAAAATATTTATTGTTGCAGAATCTGTATGCCTACATAGGCTATATATGTGCATGTGTATTTTTATGTTGCCGTTCAACCATTAATAGGATTGTGGTGTCTGCACTGCCTGCTTATTGAACCACGGAGCACTGGTTGCTGGAAAGCCATCCAGAGTACACTTTAGTGGTTTTGTCAGTGTCCTGTTTTCATGTTGAAGGCCATCCAGTACCAGGAGTTTTCATGTTTTAACTAGATTGGATTAAGAAGAAGAATGATCACATCTCCACTGACTATATAAGGACTGTTATTTTTACAGTAATTGTGGCTCATGGGCGTGTCAAATAGTTCCAAACATACATTGACTCAGCTGTTATCTTCTAAAGTAAGCAGCTGAAATCAATAGCAATAATTATATTTGAGATTTTAAGTTGCAACGTGTAAAAACGTGCTTTATAACCTTTTAACTCTGTCTCTCAAATACTGTCACTTTACAAAGCTAGCTAGCTAAATTACAGCTCTAAATCAGAAAAGGTTGGGATGGTATGTAAAATCAAAATTAAAACGGAAAGCAGTGATTTGTAAATCATCTGTGTCCTGTTTTACATTAAAAACAAGACAGCAGCACATCATTTGATGTGATACCCCCTCACTTTTATTCTTTGTTCAAAATAAACACTCACTCCAGTTCTGATCCCTGGAACACATTCCAGCAAAGGCTGTTGAAGTCATTAATGGTTGTAATTTGATGATGAATCCCACTGTTCCCTACAGAAAACAGTGAATCTGAATCAGCTGTTTGGAACTATTTGAAGCTACATGACCCACTGCCGTTTTTGACCCCGCTTTGTCGTGACTCTTCTATCTTAAGGACTCTGGTTTTAACTACAACATGTATAGTTTATATTACAGCCAACTATTTTCCAAAGCATTTACTATAGGTTTTTAGATTGATTTCTTGATCTTCCAGGCAGCCATCACTTTTGGGACTATCAGCTAAGACTGAAGCATGTATTAGATGGATGAGCTATCACAGTAGACTTTTACTTTTTATAACATCATCGTCATGAGGTAATGTAGTAAAAAGCAGGGACTCTTGTTTATGGAAACCTGAGAGTGGGCTGTCAAACAAACTTTTAGATTGGATGTCTTTTGGATAAACATAGCGAAGTCAGATAACTCTTTCATGCATGTCAGCATCTGCATGTTACTCATCTTTCAGTTTTAGCTCCCAGACAGCATAGCTTGTAACATCGGTCAGATGTTGGTGCATCCTGGGACGCCACAAAGGGATTTTTTCTAACAGTCCTGGTAGATAGCTGTCTTTCTCTGCAAATGAATGACATTTTCATAAAACTGTACTGTGATGGATTATACATCCCCATAAAGTAACAAGTGTAAGTGGTGGGGTACAAAAGGATAAAAGGAAAGAAGATGGGGATGTGTAAAATGGAAGATGTAAATGCGAAGACTGCAGGGCAAATGAGTCGCATACCTCCAAAGGACAGAAGTCAGAAGCTTTCTGGAGGATAGAAAATACATTTATTACTTGTCTGTATGCTTTGGAAAATGTAGGTATTGTAATGTAAACGGTCTGTACATGGACAACCTCTTGTGTGATTCTTAAAGGAAGAATGTCACAGTGGTCATACAGCTCATCGGCCTGGGCTGCTCTTAATCTCACAGTCATTAAGCAAGTCATAGGTTCTGTCTCCACTTTTAACTGCACATGGTTGTAATGCCATAAGCTTTGTGCTGAAGACCTCTTTAGAATGACTAAATGTCTCTCACATTGCCTGTATACCTACAATGTGCAGCAAATGATAAATGCACTGTGGACCTTTTATTTAAAAATCCTTCAGACGCTAGTAGCGTGTTTGACTGACCTTGTGCAGCACTGCACTGTCAGGGGAATTGCTGTAAAGTGCAGGAATCATTTAAACCGAGCACTCTAGTGAAAAATAACCATGACTTCACATCAGAGCCATTCTCCCATTGTGGTCAGTTTTGATAATGCAGCATGTTCAGTGTTGCATCCTGGACTTGTGGAGACCTGTTGTTCACTTGACGGTACTTCAGGTGAGGCCTTACTCCAGGCCTCAGTATTTATATTGGCAGCTGTATTTTAACCCTTACAGCCTGATGTCAGGGCACAGGCATTGTACTGTAAAAAATCCTGCTGATTACAGATGACTTGCATAAGGAAAGGGGTTGATGCGGTTTTGCTTTACCCTGTGCTGTTGCTGATGTTCCTATCAGTTGGGTCATCGGTGCCACTGACCCCATTACACTGAGTCAAGATACTGCTTTGTACAAGTATGTATGCGTTCATGTGTGTTTGCACCTGTATTGAGGTACACTGAACGCATGATGTTAAGGTGCCTCGGATGAGTGCAGCCCACTGCAGATAAGAATGTCCCCACTGTTTTTTAACACTAGGAAACTGGGAGCCAGAGAGTTGAAACATGCTGCAGATGTAGTCTGGGACTCCGTGGCATTAAATACCTGCTTTTTAGACTGGAAGTGTTGATAGTTATTATGTAGAGCTACTGCTGATGTTTGGTTATCAGGCAGTGTTGTTGGTTTCATGTTGATTAGATTAATGAACCATGCAGTGCCACTCTTTACAGGAAATGGAGTGAAAGGAAATTGATCTGTCCACACCGGGTGGTGCATTTATTATTTCACTGTTCCTGCTGTGTAGGTTCAGCATTAAGCTGATCTATAACCATATACCAGCTGTGAAGTTGGTGTCCAATCGAGCTGACATTGACAGCTGGCTTAAACATGAAAGGAAGTGGTGTTTGATTGTGGTTAGTGTGTGGGCACACTTTGTGTAGATGTGTAAACAGCCTTATCATATGGATGCTCAAAAATAAGTTAAGGTTTTCTTGTTCGGCTGTAGGCAGTTCATAGGCCAAAACTGAAGCTAAAGTTTGTTCAGTCCGTTGAACAGCATTTTAAACTGGTAAGCAGGCAGTGGTTTAGGTGTGCTGCTGTTGCAGCAGGTGTCTGTCGCTTTGAGGTAGTTGTTTTTGTAGTTGATGGCAGTATTGTTTTTGTTTATTTGTTTCTTTTGTTTGTTTCCTCCAGAGCACCATCAACCCAGTAGATGGAATCTACCAGCCCCCTCTGGACTCTGTAATCAACACCACGATGCCCACACAGACCGCACTACCCACAGGTACCATCTTTGGTACACAATTAGACACGTGTTAAAATGTCTGTAAATACCAGACCCAACGTTTTAACTCTGTGTAGTACAGTTGATATTGTTAGTTTAGTTTCCTATCCTTCAGTCTAATAGTTTTAAGCTGCTGCAGTCGGTAAATAATGGACTATATTTAATCATGTGGTGTGACTAAGATTTGAGATGGATTTTTTTTTGACTATTTAGGTCAGACGACTATGACTAGACTGTTTTAAAATGCACACTGCAAAGTAGGCCATTCCATTCTAATTTCAGTCTCTTAATGAACTGTGTAATCCCTTCACAGCTGCACTCTCCGTCTGAAGCATCTCAGATCGTGTCCTCAGCCACTTGGCACAGAGGACAAGATGCTGATTTATAATGTGATTTGGTTTCATGTTAAGGCTTCACTGCAAACTCATTTTCTTTCTGTTTTTGCTGAAGACGCTTCTCAGGTGTGTAAATCAGACCAACGGCCCTCCACGTTACCTGTTGGTCCCGTCGTCACTGCGATGGGCAGTCTGCAGACCCCAACTCCCAACAGTACAGGTGCAAGTTCACTCCAGTAGCCATTTATACTGCAGGCATTACTAGGAAAGATTATTTATTCATACCTTAAATCATTAATGAATTATACCTTTCTCAGATGTGTAGAAGAGGACTATAGTTGTTTTTCTGGTTTGGTGCTTCGATGCATATATTTAAGAAACACAAAAAACATTCTCATGACAAGTTTTGCTTATTAGCTGTTGTTGTGCTTTTACTCAAATTACATTGTATTCATTACCAGATGGAGTTTCCTCAGTTGTCATAAAATTGTAAATGTTCAAGTTTTACTAAGCACTTCACAGAATGTTTATCCATGTTGGTGTAAAAGTTAATTTTCAGTTTATTCCTGACCTTGGAACAGCTTTCAGGAGCTTTCACTTGTATCATATGATATTCATTACCAGATGAAGATGAGAGTTCTAGCAACTGCCCTTTCCAAGGTTAAAAATGAATTTCAAGCCTCACATTTTATCTAGAAATCCTGGCTCTATTGCTCAGTCTGCATTAAAACATCAGCATTGTCAACAAGAAGGTCAGTTTGGACACAGAACTGTGTGAGGCCTTGTCAGCATGCAGTTATTTTTTGCTAGATTCTTCTTTGAAAAGCTATGTAAAGCTGATGGCATAAGAACTCACCCACAAGTACAAAAGTAGTAACTATATTCATTATTATTGTACTTCTCTAACTCAAAGTGCTGTTTCCCTGAACATAAAGTAAATTAAAAACCCTAGTGCACAGCAATGGAAGGCTGAGGTTCCTGCCTGTTTGTCTTCAGTGCTGAGGCAGCAGTATTAAAATGCTGTGCTGAGCATTAAGGAGGCAGGCTGCATGCTTGAGAGGACGGTCAATATGCTCTGCAGAGAGAAGTCACTATATTAAAGATAGCTTAATATAACTGTACACAGTCTGCTGCACTAGGCTCTGAAATGAGTATTCCAGTTGAAGACCATAATGTTGAGACCTTATTTATTAGACCCACCACACTGAATGAAAAACTGATATAACATACATCCCTCTCAGGGAGTGGCCCGTCAGGCCCCAGCAGTGGTGTTGCTTCTCCAGCTCACATCCCCATCCCCTCGCACTCAGTGCCAGACTTCTCCTATTCCTCCAGTGAAGATGAGTTCTACGACGCTGACGAGTTTTACCATAGCAGCACTTCCCCCAAACGCATAGAGTGAGTATAGTATCACCCTCCCTGCAACCAGTGCTGCTCATAGTGAATTTGTTGCAGCTGAGATTAAAAACAACAGTTAATTTTAGCATTTAACTGCTTAGAATGAATAAAACTTAAGCAGCTCAGGCAGCCTGTGAGATCCCACTCAGTCTTTATCTCCTTATCTCTTCTGCTTCCTGCTTCTTTCCACTTTTTCTTGCCCTCAGTCCCTCAGGGCCTCCAGCTGCCTCACCCCTCAGTAATGAAGTTACAACATTGAAGCGACCAGATACCACCGAGTCCCTCAGCTCGTCTATGTCCAATGGTACCACAGATGCAGGTAAAAAGGAAAGGCTCACAAGACATATCTATGTTACAGCAAAATTTCCCCGTTTTTTTTTTTTTTTTTTTGCCCTTTTCATGCATTAAACACCAAGCTTTAAAGTATTACTGTAATTTGTTTTTGTCAAATGTCAAAAGATAAACGTTGTTTTATGCATGAAAATGCAGGAAACCTTATGTTACCACAACCATATAAGGCTCTGCTGTTGCCTTCAGATCAGTTTGACAGCCATGATGACCGTGATGATGAAGGTGAGGGCGAGTCTGTGGAGGAGCACAAGAGCGTCATCATGCATCTGCTTTCTCAAGTTCGTTTGGGCATGGACCTCACGAAGGTAAATCACAGTGTGATTCCAGCCTGAGTGTCTCTTTTTGTTCTATTTGCTTTTCTCTCAAGCCGCAGTGCAGTCCGTCCTTTTACTCACTAACATCATCTATGCATGCTGCTTATTTTGAACAACCCACACAATTGCAGTCTCTCTCTCTCTACTTCATTCCGTTTCACAGGTGGTCCTGCCTACCTTCATCCTAGAGAGGAGATCTTTGTTAGAAATGTACGCAGACTTCTTTGCACATCCTGACTTATTTGTAAGGTATGTACCATTTCAAGAACTCACCTATTCAGTGCAAGTAAACATTTCTACCAAATTTTCAATGAATGATTGAGAATTGCCATTAGCCTGCCTCTTTCTTCTGACTTCCACTAGTATTGCTGAGCAACCAGAACCCAGAGAGCGCATGGTTCAGGTGTTAAAATGGTACCTGTCAGCCTTCCATGCAGGGAGGAAAGGCTCAGTGGCCAAGAAACCTTACAACCCAATACTGGGAGAAGTTTTCTACTGCCACTGGGATCTGCCCAGCGAGACAGAGGAACCCTCCCCACACACGGTGAGAACATGTGCTTCCGCAGGTACACGTAACACAACTTTTACGCATCTTTGCTAGAGGTCATATTTGAGTCAAGCTTGATGTACCGGATATGAATATGTGGGAAAGGAACTTGAAACCACTTCTGCAAAAACAGTTTGTCCTATTTTAAAATGTCATTCGCTGATTATGCAAATAAATGTACCGTATAGTCACATTTGCAAACACTAAAATTGACAAACTGTTCTTTTTGTGTCAAAACTGGATGCCTTTTATTTATATTTTGCATGTGTCTATTTTATCCATAGTTTTGATTCTTTGTATATTCTCAGTCACTTTCCATTCCTCCACTCTCCAGGAGGCTGTATCAGACGGTCCTGTTTCATGGGCTTCACCCAACAGTGTGTCTTTTGTGGCAGAGCAGGTCTCTCACCACCCACCCAGTGAGTGTCACGTCGTCTTCTTCTGAGTGATTTCATACACTGCTAAAACCCTTTGACATGTAGGGTCAACAAACCTGTGATCATTTTTGAAAAGTGACCACCAGCAACTCATTACATTTTATAGGCTGGAAAACATGTGAATCAAAACATAGGCTGGTGATAACATGTTAAATATTAGGATGTCTTAAAGATGCAGGTTTATTGCTTCTGTTTCTGGACTATCGCTCAGATGTTGCTGCTTCTTGTACAAACTTGTCAACATTTATACTCTTCTTTCTCTAGTTTCTGCATTCTATGCAGAGTGTTTAAGTAAGAAGATCCAGTTCAACGCACACATCTGGACTAAATCGAAATTCTTAGGCATGTCCATAGGGGTCCACAACATTGGCCAAGGTGTGGAAGAAACTGCCACATACACTCTAAAATATACACACACTGTTACAAATATGCGGAGCTGTAATAATTATTGGCTGATGTTTGTTTCAGGTTGTGTATCATGTTTGGAATACGATGAACATTACATCCTCACCTTCCCTAACGGATATGGCAGGTGTGTGTGTTATTGCTTCTCTGTGTTTGTCTATGTAATCACCAAATTACAGTTTGCTTCATGGAACTCAACCTGTTTGTCCAGATCAATTCTGACTGTGCCGTGGGTGGAGCTGGGTGGCGAGTGCAACATCTCCTGCTCCAAGTCGGGCTACAGTGCTAATATTGTGTTCCATACAAAACCCTTCTACGGAGGAAAGAAGCACAGGGTCACTGCTGAGATTTTGTAAGAAGAAAATGATTACACAATAGAGGTTAAATCACAGTTCACCTGCCTGATTATGGATAAAAGATCCTAATCTTTTTAATGAAATGTACCACAATTCTTTTCTGTTCTTGTTTTAGTGCACCTAATGACAAGAAGTCGTTTTGCTCCATTGAAGGGGAATGGAACGGAGTGATGTATGCCAAGTGGGCAACTGGAGTGAGTCCTTTATTTATTAGTTGAACTGAAATAAAATGCACTGAGGGAAAAAAAGGAAAGAGTTTTGCAGTAAATAAAAACAAAACATGAAGTAATGCTTTGAATTGTGCATTTCTAGGAGAACACAGTGTTCATAGATACCAAGAGAATGGGCATCATTAAGAAGAAGGTGAGAAAGCTGGAAGACCAGCTCGAGTATGAATCCCGAAGGTGAGAAGTATAACTGGTTTTAGATCTAGAAACAAAATGTTTCGCTAAGACACAAGCAGTGTATTTGACTTGAGCTTCTTTGATCCATCAGATTGTGGAAGGATGTAACGCTGAACCTTAAGGTGAAAGACATTGATGAAGCAACAGAAGCCAAGCATCGGCTGGAGGAGAAACAAAGAGCCGAAGCAAGAGAGAGGAAGGAGAACGAGCAGCAGTGGGAGACCCGAGTGAGGCTCTCTGCCTTTGTTTTTCAGCTTCCAGATATAACAGGAACATTTCCTGAACACAGAGCACAACTGTGACATTGGCAACACAACAGTGTAGTCTGCAGTGAGATATCATGGGTGTATTTTTAAGCTAAATTTAAGTTTGTATTCAGTCTTCATTGTCACTTGCATTTAAAACGAGGAAAATGATAGCAAAAAGCTTACTCCACCTCACTAATAGACAGTTGGTCTGTTTCACTAACAGACATAGACCAGTGTTTGAAAAGTCAGATAATATTGTAGTTTTATTTTGGGATCAGTTCTAATTTCAGAAAATGAAGTGTAATAACTGTTTTTGCTTGTGTGTCTCTGCAGCTGTTTCATGAAGACGGGGAGTGCTGGGTCTATGATGAGCCTCTTTTAAAGAGATTAGCCTCTCAGAAGCACTGAGAAAACTACACACACGTGTATATATGCATAAAGAAATGCACACACACAAGAGAGTCTTCATAAGAACTCTTTTGGAAAAACCACTTTTATCCTAGCCTTGGAATGAATGAATGAATGAACATGTACACAGCTTTGCATCTGACCGTAAAACAACAATATGGAAATGAATGAACGCAACTGGAAAGCTGTAACCGGAACATTAGTAAAGCTCCTCTTTCTATTTGGGCAATCTCACTTCTGCCACCACCACCACCACCCGCCGC